TTTTGCTAAAACAAACAGCTTAACACTGTGATCTGTGGTGACTCTGCGCTGTGTTTGGCTGCAGGGCGACTCTGGCGGGCCTCTTATCTGTAATGGGTATTTCGAGGGGATCGTGTCCTGGGGCATCAGCTGTGCCAACCGTTATTTCCCAGGAGTCTACACCAAAGTCCGCAACTACGTCTCCTGGATCAAATGGATAATAGAAAATGACAACAGCTAGACACTGAATGTTCTTTTTCCAAAGGTTGTTGAACTGTACGCCGGTCAATGTCTATCAGATAAGATGAACGCCAGCATTAAAAGTTGTTTTATTCTTTTCTCTCATCTTTTCTCTCTTTATTCTCATTGTAATTCCATTGGGATGTCAGAGTATTATTGTGCAGTGACCTTTACACCTCATCCTCACTGTTTTGGTGTGGCTAAGGAAAAGGTCGCTGTCACTCTGACTGGAAATTACATAACCTTTCAGCATGACAGCATCACACACATCAAACACAGCACATCGGGGAGGTGGGAAATCTGGGAAAAGGGGATTGGATGTTAGATCTGGAAAAACAAATTCACAGTCAAGTCTGTTGAGCCACAGAGAGACTTTACACACACACACAACATAGAACATGGAAGACCAAAAGCTGAGACATGAGCTAGTTAATGGGTTGAATGGGCACTTGTTGGGGATAAAAGAGTTGATTCGGAAGTCCCAAGAGGCCACAAAGTTTGCCTACTGCCCCTACAGCAAGTTCAGAGTCGGGGCGGCGCTACTGACACACGACGGGACGGTTTTCACAGGTGAGGGAATGCCTGAAATTAATCTCTGATACGTGAATTACACTTAAAGGAGAAGTTCACTTTTAAAAAATCTTTTGCTGATAATTTACTCACCCCCATGTCATCCAAGATGTCCACGTCTTTCTTTCTTCAGTCGAAAAGAAATTAAGGTTTTTAATGAAAACATTCCAATGGACTTCAATGGGGACCAAACGGTTCAAGGTCCAAAAGACAGTTTCAGTGCAAACTGTTCAAAGGGCTTTAAACGACACCAGACGATGAATAAGGGTCTTATCAAGCGAAACGATCGCTCATTTAAATTTCTTTATTTTATTTTTAAGTTTTATAAGCTCAAATGGTCGCCTTGCTCTGTTCTGTGCTGCTCGTTTGTTTATCAAAATGAACAAATCATTTTTCGTGTCATTTGGTTGATTCAACGAATGAAATGAACGAGTTGACTTTGAAAAAGATTTGTTCATTTTGATGAACGAGTTCGAACAGGAGAGTCAAGAACGCGCATCACAGAACAGAGCAAGGCGAGCATTTGAGATTATAAAACTTAAACTTTGTTATTTATTTATTAAATGAGCGATCGTTTCGCTTGATAAGACCCTTATTCATCGTCTGGTGTAGTTTAAATCCCTTTGAACAATTTGCACTGAAACTCTCATTTGGACCTTGAGTCGTTTGGTTCCCATTGAAGTCCATTATATGGAGAAAAATCCTGGAATGTTTTCTTCAAAAATCTTAATTTCTTTTCGACCGAAGAAAGAAAGACATGGACATCTTGGATGACATGGGGGTGAGTAAATTATCAGCAAAAGTTTTTTCAAAAGTGAACTACTCCTTTGCCCATGTGACATTCAGCCGTCAGATTTTCTAGTTTTCACTGTCTTGCACCTCAGTTACTGATTGTTGTAAAGAATAACTGCATTAGAGGAATGTATTATAAAAGGACACTATTATAACACCGTCACCAATGTTGCAGTGTTCGTCTCATTGCAAGACCGATAGTAAATGGTGGAGGGGAAAGTGATGCAGGTGAAATTATATATAATATCATGCTGCATTGGTTTTCAGATGGTTTTTAGGCAGTAAAGAGGCACAAATATGGGAAAAATAATGAGGTTGGGAGAATTTTAATGCTTTTTTGCATTCTATCGCAACCCCTGAAGAGACTTTGTGTTTGCTTTTGGAAATAATATGAGGTGAAAAAGCATAAAGTGGTTTATTTCGTTTAAAATCGTATAAATGTAAGAGCTTGCGAGGCAGGCCTTTTACACCACACACGGGCACAAAGTATTGATACAAATACTTCAGCTAAAATAATATGTTTTTAATAATGTATAGGTTATTCAAAACAATCACTTTAGCAAAGTTTGTACTATTTTCAGTTTATTTTGATAAAATAATTCATTTTTGTTACCGTCATGAAAATGTCAACATAAAAATATATTTTTAAAATACAGAAACAAAATTATTATTTTAACAAGTAAATATTATGAAAGCATTGAATGAGATCCCATAATAATTGAATATATAATTTTTCTTGTTACTACTGTAAATCTATATGATGATTAAAATCTTATTTTTGCCATCCAATGGTTTAGAGGAAAATAAAACCCAATGCGCCTTTGAACTCGGAGCAACTTTAATCCCACTGTAATCTAATTTAAAATTCAGTGCACCAATAATTTAGCACACATGATGTCCCTGACGGTGATTTCTGTTGGTCTAAACTAATGATTAGTAATGAATCTAATGAAACTAATGAAGTATTACAGATGATCAACAGTCACAGCCTTGAGTTATTCAGAGACCATGTGTTAGTCACTGGACAGTTTTGTCGTCACATGCAGAAAGTAAATAAAAACCTTGGCCCTGACAGGCCCCCTTCTGACCTGCCAATAGAAATAAAACTCGAAGTTCAAAATGTACCCCATTTGTGTTTACAGTGTGATGTAACATATTTGGACACTATGCCCAGTTTCACAGACGAGGTTTAAGCCGATAGTCCAAGACTAAAATGCTTGTTTGCTCTGACACTCTTAAAAATGTTAAGTCACATTTAATAAAACTACTTCAAATGTTGTCATATACTCACCCTCAAGTTGTTTCAAACCTGTATGAATTTCTCTCATAACACAAAGGAAGATATATTGTGTTCAGTAGAAGAAAGAGATTTTTACAGGTTTGCAATAACTTGAGGGTGAGTAACTATATGTCCTAAGTCTAATACTGGCTTAATCTGAGCCTTGTCTGTGAAACCAGGCCTTTGATTCCTACAATTTTACACAGGGGCCACTGTATGTTAATAAAAAACGAAATGAATTATGATATTTTCATTATTGCTCGACATCAGGCTGTAATGTGGAAAACGCATGCTTCAACTTGGGAATCTGTGCTGAGAGAACAGCCATCTCAAAAGCCGTATCTGAGGGCTACAGGGATTTCAAAGCCATTGCTATTGCGAGGTAATCTTAACAGGCCCTCTAGTGGCTATACAAGTGATATAACATCTGTAACCATTTTAACTAGCTATCTGGAAGATGTCTCTCCTAGTATAATACAGCATCAGTGTAAGTGTCTTCTGCTCTTTCAGTGATTTGTGTGAGCACTTCATTTCCCCCTGTGGAGGCTGTAGGCAATTCATGAGAGAGGCAAGTGTCATATACCACAGCCTTTCACATCAATCAATTAAAGGGATAGTTCACTTTGAAATTAATTTTTTTATATGTTTTATCTTACCTCAAGGGCATCCAAGATGTAGGTGTCTTTGTTTCCACAGTAGTTTCAATTTTGATATTTTTAGGTCAAACCGTTCTTGTCTGTCAGTCATATAATGCAGGTCTATGGTCACCACCTCAAAGAGCATGCACAGAGAAGTCCAAATTAAACATGATTTAATGACTCGTAAATGTAAGTACACATTGATGGCCTAAGACACGAAACGAGCGGTTTGTGTGAGAAAACGAACAGTATTTAGTATCAAAGTGAACTATCCCTTTAAGCATCACAAACAGATTTCATTAAACATGTTATTTCTGTTTACACCTACAGTTTGGTGCTAACTGGGACGTGTATATGTCCAAACCTGACGGTTCCTTTGTGGAGATGACCGTTGAGGAACTGCTGCCGGCGTCTTTCGGTCCAGAAGACTTAAGAATGAAGAAAGTGAATATTCGGAATGAGTTTTGAAGAGCCAAGAAAGTCTTAGTACCTCAGAGTTTTACTGTGGAGTCAGAGAGAGGATTAATGGTGTTTAATATTGTGTGAATGTATAATTTATATACTTAAAAGTTTGAAATTATTATTATTTTTCAATAAATGCAAAGTTAAAGGTCCCTTTCTTCGTGACCCCATGTTTCAAACAAACTTTAGTTTGTGTGTAATGTTGTTGTTAGAGTATAAAAAATATCTGTAAAATTATAAAGCTCAAAGTTCAATGCCAAGCGAGATATTTTATTTAACAGAAGTAGCCTACATCGAGCGACCTGTTTGGACTACATCCCTCTACTTCCTTCTTTAATGACGTCAGTAGTCAGTTTTTTGACTAACGTCCGCCGCCCACAGGAACGCTCCCTCAACTGCACTTCTTATAACTTACTGTTTACTCAGCTCTTTTGGTGATTTTCTGAAGTAAAACGGACGCTTCATCTTTTATGTGATGTACAATAAACTTTATGAAACTCATCAGTATATGTTTGATCATCATTCGGACCTGGTCCGAAACAGCAGACTTGTGGGCTATTAATAAATAAAGGATACATCCAAGCAGATGACAAATACGTTATAAAAACCGTAATTAAACTACTAACTATACCTGTTCCATCTCTATACAGCACTCTGACTCTGTAGGCATTATTGTCCGACTGGAAATGAACACCGTTATTAAGAGTTTCTGATATTATTATTCCATGAGGTGAAATTGTCCTGAGAGAGAGACTGAGCGCGAGCGCGATCTAATGAAGCTCCGCCCCCTGTGCCGGCAGCAGCAGCTCATTTGCATTTAAAGGGCACACACTCAAACAGCGCGTTTTTCCGAGCCCCCAAAAATGACAATTTAAACATGCTGTAAAAAATGATCTGTTGGGTATTTTGAGCTGAAACTTCACGTACACATTCTGGGGACATCAGAGACTTATTTTACATCTTGCGAAAAGGGTCATAATATGGGACCTTTAATGCAGTTATAAATATGAGGGTTATAAATATGAGTCTAAACATGTTGCTACAGTACAAACTTTATTATTATTTTTAAACAATGCACATGATATGCAAATCAACCACAAAAAAAGTGCAACATAAAGTCATTTTCTCAAAAGAAAATGCCAACTGATGACCTAGAGACATTTTTAACCTGATTCGACTGGTTATGTTAATTCAGATGCAGTAAGAACCTCTCTTTAAATATTATTAAGTTTATGCTAAGCAAGTCATCAAAGTGCAAATGAGATAAAACAAAGTATGGAGTTTGAGGAAAGGCAGCACATGCACAAATGGCAGTAAAACCTATTCTTTTAAAACATAACATTTTCAACCTTTTCATGCACCACAGTTTAGTAAAATTGTAGTCAGAGATTTTGCATAAGGAGAATGGGTTGACTAACCCATTCCCACACACACACACACACACACACACACACATTTTTTCTTATTTCTATAATCCAAATAGTGACTGGAAAAAAGGCAGAAAGGTTACCTTACTATGAACTGCTTCTGAAGCCAGGGCCATCGCTTGAATTCACCGGGTCCTGGACAAAATCATAAGTGTGGGCCGTCGCCGCCATATACCCAGCTGTGTTAAGACACATGTTGGAAGCTACACAGAGTGGCTTTATCTGGATATTGGCATCTTTACAGTAATGAAACAACCATATGAACAAAAAGACAGTGTACGTTGCAGATGGAAAGGCGTTTCGCCCCTAAAGCAGCAGACGAGCACATGGTGCTCTAAACGAAGAAAACCTCTACTCATAACCAGTGCGTTTTACAGAATAACTTAAAATCACATAATAACTACGTCGTTTGGATAGAAAAGATGTTGAACGCTAGATTTCAACATCTTTCACGTCACTACAGCATGCCTCCTGCAATAGGTCTGAGTCTTATTTCTGTGGCGTTATGGTGTCCAGACCGGGCCAGGCCGGAACATAGTGTCTCGGTAGAGTTCCCTCCATGAGCCTCTCCATCCACAGACCCAGTCGGTCCAGTTTGTGGTGGATCTCCAGAGTGGTGGCCTTCTGTCGGGAACTTGACCGGGACCTCGAGGGTTTGCTTGGCCCGGCTGCGGACGCGTCCTCGTCGGACCACCTGCTGCTTTCGGCTTCCTCCCCCGTGAACACAGGTCTGAACAGGCAGAAGTACTTCTTGTGGCCGTTGAGCGCCAGGACGTGGCCAGTGTAGTCTGATTTGTTGGAGGTGGCGTCCTCCTCTTCCTCTTCGTCCAAGCAGTCTGACGGCCTGGCATCAGGAGCCGACTCCATGAGGGAATCCATCCATTGGCTGTGCTTGTCCACGTTTAAAAACGAGTAGTGGAGAGTCGGAGACCTGCAAGAGGAAGTAGGAATGGATTTTTTTGTTACAAAAATTACGCAGGGGTGCTTAAGTACAGCTACTGGAGATCTACTTTCTTCCAGCATTTTAGCATAGGAATTTAGGGCTTACTTTGACCAATAAAAATTTTGGAATAATGGGTCCAGTTGTGCTTTTTTTTTTTTTTTTTTTTTTTTAACTCTCTATGGTTGTTCGGCCCAAATGGTCCCAAAGAATTCAAATAATTTTTTTTTTAAAAAATCACGGCTTCCTCGGAATGGTCCGAAATTTGGTGACTTTGTTGGTATTTGGAATGTGAACACCCAAAAAATTGGGGACAGGATGTGAATAGTCTAAGTGGGTGTAAAAAAAATAGTCACACTTCGGTGTCCAAATGGACCCGCATGGAAAATGAATGGGAAATTGGCAAAAATGTGAAAATACTGAGTTTTTTGTGTGTACAATCTACAAATCAGCCATGATCCAGAACAACAGTGAAGGGGTAAATCTATAAAACATCAAGAGTGCAAAACAGACACATCCACACACACACACACACTTTTATACACAAACACACCAAAAAGTTCTGATTATACATGCGTTTTGCAAGTTTAAAATGCTAAGTTTGTCCACCAGATGGCATCCATCTCATTTCAAAAATTGCTTTTATGAGGCCTAGGCTTGACTCTAAAATGAAATACAGCTTTAAAAAAAAAAAAAAAAAAACTTTTTTTTTTTTTTTTTTTACATTTTTTTTTATTATATTCAATGGGAAAAATGGGTCATAATTATTGCATTAATTTCAATTATAAATTTTTTTATTTGTGAAATTTTCTCAAAACACCCAAAAAGAAAAGAAAAAATATTATTAAAAAAATTATATGATTTTTTTTTTTTTTTAAATATGAATCCCGCCCTTTGGGTCCATTTGGGCATTATTTCCAAACAGCATTGCACGGCTAACTCGATTATAGAAACCATTGGCACCAGTGTTCTCCAAGATGTACTAAGGCTCACAATGCTTTATGAAAACACAGCCCTAACTATTTCCACACCTTTAAATCGTACCCTATGCATTCCTACTCGGCAAATGGCTCAGAGATTTTTTTTGAAGAGAGCCCTTAATTGAAAAATACAGTCACTTGTGCAAGAGCTGCACTCAATTCAACGTCAGATTAGGAATATTCCTATGTTGTATCTTTAAGTTTTGAACTTTGGCTCAGTTGTCTAAAGCTTGATAGATGAAGAATCCTATGATTTGTTTTGCAGATGTGCAACACAGTTAGTGTTAAATGGATCAGAACTTAAACTCTGCAAGAAGGTTGATCTCCAGAAACAGGTTTTAGCATTCAGACAAAAACACACACACACAGGACTCACCCTGAGAATGAATATACTTCTTTGGCAAATTTCCTGAGCAGCACTTGCTTCGAAGCATCAGTGAGGATCAGCACTACGTTGATGTGACCAGGCTTTAACCTGACTAGGTTACTCATGTAGGTGATGTCCGTCAGCTCCGTCACCTCCACAAAATTCTTTTTAGGTGGACGACTGTAACAAGAAAACCAACTCTAAGACAATTTGTCTAATAAACAGCTAGTGCGAACAATTCCAGTGCGAAAAACTGCAATAC